TTTACATATTCAATAAAGTTTATAAAAAAAATTTAAAATAAAATACTTTAAGACGTCAAATCTAAGTTCAAACGGTGAGTCGCTCTCTTGATCAAAATTGGACGGCTGGATGGTACGGGAAGCATAGACCTTCTAAGCTATAGGATAAGTATAAAAACCTTTCCCACTTGTTTAAACCAATGTTGCACTCAAAAAAATAAAAGGAAAAGAAAAAAACTGATCTCAACATTAGCAATTCAAACTAGGTGTAATTTAAAAAAAGAAAAAAGCTTATATGAAATTGCAATCTTAAAATGTAGAATTAAGGTGCATCTAAGAAACCCATCATAAAAAGTTGTTTTAAAGTTAGAAAACCTTCTAATTGATGAGATGTACAAATATGAAAAAAAAAGAAATTGAGTCCTAAAAATAGTGTCTTGCAATACATTATCCAGACCGTCTATTTTAAAGATTTACAAGTGATTATAAATCTACTTGACTTCAACCATTTTTAGGTTCCAATTTTATAATTAGAGATGAAAATGGAATCTCAATCCATCCTAAGAATTTTCAACACCAAAATTACATCTATAATCAAATTTGGTGGTACACCTTACTTTGATTGTTTAAGGTCGCAGCTTTGTTCAACCTACACTTTTTAAAAATAAATAAATAAATAAAACACGAGAAAGTGAGACTTCTGAACTCGATACTAATCGGGTAGTTTCTAAATATTGGAATTACAATAACATATCAAAATTTCCCTTTCAGTTATTTTCTAAATATTTATATACCTAGAGAAAATATATACTGGGATCCGCCTCTGGGAGCATTGGAGATCCAGGTTTTTGCTCCAAATTCGACAAATGCATATCATAAAGAATGTAAAAACTGGTATCCGAATTCGACAAGTGCAGAACATATATAAAATGAAGGGTGTGGTTTGTATAACGTTCAAGCCCTAAACAATCCAAGCATGGCGCACTTTAAATAGTCTCGAAAAATGTTGTTTCAGTAGCAAAATATTTTATGATGGTCTGAAATTTTATTTTCATCTCTAATTATTAAATGTTAATGCATTACAAGACACATTATTTTCATTACTTGAAGTTCTTTTTTTTTTTTTTTGCATCCATATATTTCAATGTCGAGATAATTGTATTTGAAGGTTTTCCGACATTGGAACAACTTTTCCTAATGAATTTCTTATATGTGCCTTAATTTGATTCTTTAAGGCCATAACCTTATATGAACTTTTTCCTAAAATAATTGGCTAAATCCCACCATTTAAACAGTCAAAATTATCTTATTTAATTTTAATTTGTTTGTCAGATGAGATAATTTTGAGGCAAAACCCCCATGAGCATTGATCTAAAGCCATTTTTTCTTTTGTAAAATGACCACCGATATTTAATACATTGTCTCCTTTAAAATGCTACTTTCAACCTCTCAATGCTCTGTCTTTTGTGGAATGACCACCGACATTTAATACATTTTCTCCTTTTAAAAACTATTTTCAACTTTCCAATACTCTTTTTTGAGGTGCACCTTACTTTTATGGGGAAAAGTTTGCAACGCAACCTTTATTTCTTTTCAAAGGTCTGACCACGATGTGAATCCGGATGGGACTCAAATAAATCAATTAATTAAAATGAGAATTATTGAGAATGGGTTCGGGCTAGTACGAATGAACCCTATGATGAAATATCTGACCTCAGTTATTTTTACCCTTCTTCTCACCCAAAAGGTAAAGGCCCAAATCCCCATTAACTTACCCTTTTGTATTACCCAACAGAAAAAAAAAAAAAAAAAAAATTGATAGGAAAAAAGAAATTTCAATATAATTCACAACAGATTGGGAAACAACCAATCCCAAAAGTGGGGCATTTTGTCGCAATATCACTGTCCCTCCATTTTCAAAATTTGTACTGTCCCTCCTTATAGATACTTCTCATCAATATCAGTTTTGTAGCTTTAAATTACATTATTACTAAAAATATTTTTTCAAGCCATCGGTATCAGCATATTTGATTGTACTTGGAAATGGCACCTTACATAAACCGCACACAAAATCGATAGAGGGCGAACCAGAGAGATGGAAAGATACGATATGGTTCCAACACACAGAGATGGAAAGAGTGAGAAGACGAGGGGAGAGATGCAAACCGAGAGCGAAGCCATATGGAGAGAGAAACAAGAGCGATTTAGAAGAGGGCAATCTCAATATAGTAGCATTTCATATTTTTCACTTTGCCCTCGAAACTACAAGAGGCCCAGAAGCCTTCCAAAATAGCAGTAAGAGGCTGACAAAGCCAGAACCCATTATCTAGCTTTCCCTCATCATAGCGAACCACAAAAATAATATTGAAAACAAAACCAACCAGCCAACTCAAGGACTTTCATCAACAGAAAATTATTCAAAATTCAAATTTTTCAACAATGGAAGAAAAAAAAAAGAGAATAAAAGAAAATAGGCAAGAGTGTACGTTCTTTTTCTCCCACGAAACAAATCTCAATATTTTAAATCAAGCCGCTTCTCTCTCTCTTACTTGGTGCTGGCAAGCTGGGTGCGGAGAAGCTTGGCAGCAGAAACCATGTTGGTGAGGGCAGGTACGACCTCAGAATATTTGCGGGTTTTGAGGCCACAATCAGGGTTCACCCAGAGGATGTTGGTCTCAAGGACGGCAAGCATCTTGTTGACGCGGTCAGCAATCTCATCGGTGGTGGGGATACGGGGGGAGTGGATGTCATAAACCCCGGGGCCGATGCCAGCACCATATTTCACCCCCTCACGGAACACCGAGAGGAGCTTCTCGTCAGAGCGGGAGTTCTCGATTGTGATAACATCGGCATCCATGTCAATGATGGAGTGGATGATGTCGTTGAAGTTGGAGTAGCACATGTGGGTGTGGATCTGTCAGATTTTAGAAAGTTGTGCAGTGTTAGTTAACAGAGAGAGAGAAAGAGAATGAGAGAGAGAGAGAGAGTGGGAGGAGGGGGGGGGGAGGGGGTACAAAGAAGAGAAGGGAGAAAGCAGTGACAGAAGGGAACAAGATGAAATGGAACAAGACAAAAAGAAACAGCAGCATGAGAGAGAGGAGACTGAGTGTAGTAGTCAGAGAAGAAGCCATGATGAAGCAGAGAACATCCGGAATAAGAGTAAACGGGACATGCATCACAAGAAAGAAAAGTTGAGTAAGAGAAAAGCAACGAGAGTTAAAAAGAAGACAGCAATTACAAGAGTTTCTGGAATAAGAGAGAACCTGAGTGGTATCCTTGACTCCACAGTTGGTGATTCTAAAAGAGTGAACAGCCCAGTCCAAGTAATGGGCCTGCTCCGACTTGCGCAACGGCAAGCCTTCTCTCAAAGCTGCCTCGTCAATTTGAATTACCTGCATGACCCAAAAACAAAAGCATTTCAAAACTCTGGACAAAAATTTAAGAAAGATAGCGCTGAGAAGTTAAAAAGTTCAATCCAATCACTAATCAAGTATTATATGCATCTCTTCCAGTATGGAACTGACCTGAATTCCACCTTTTTCCAGGTCCTCGACCTCATCCTTAATAGCCAGGGCAATCTGGTAGCATGTTTCTGATCTGAAAAACGTTTAAGAAGTTCAGAGTTAGCAACTAGCATATGCCACCACAATTGAAGAGAAAGAAAAATCATCAATGTAACATAAAGCAATTTAAGAGAATGAAAAAATTCATCTACACCATAACATATAAAGCACAAAGCAAATCGCATGCATTGCCTCTTGATCATTAATTCATTCAGGGACCAATCTTAATCTTGGGATCACCAAACAAACTCTCTCTATCACAAAACCAACAACTATATATTTAAAAGAGTTCATGAGTGAGGACGGTGAAACTTGCCTGGGCTGGTCAACTCTGACAAAAGACCAGTTAAGAATGGTGACTGGGCCCGTGAGCATACCCTTCATTGGGCGAGCGGTCATGCTCTGAGCCATGGAGGACCAGTAGACGGTCATTGCCTTGGGACGGCTCACATCACCATAGATGATGGGGGGCTTCACACACCTCGACCCATAGGATTGGACCCACCCATTCACAGTGAAAGCAATACCCTCCATCTGCTCCCCAAAGTACTCCACCATATCATTCCTCTGCACATCATTACGAAACATACTCAGATTGATTCCAGTCTATCACAGATGAATCATTCATGGTTCATATATTACACATTCATAGAAAGGAGACTTGATCAAAGAATACATGCAAGCATATTATTACCTCTGGCTCTCCGTGCACAAGAACATCGATGTCAAGGTCCTCCTGCAATTTGACAACCTTGCTAATTTCTTCCTTGATGGCCTTGACATAGTCTTCCTGAGAGATCCTGAAACGAACATTCGGAACAGAATGATACATTAAGCACTTGCAGTCTGTAGAAACCAATTTTAGTGCGAGAATATGCAAGGTTACAAAAGCAACTTTAGTGAAAGCATATGCGAGGGTACCCACTTTTTGGCCTTGTATTCACGGCGTACTCTTCTCAAATCCATGGTCTGAGGGAAAGAGCCAATGGTGGTGGTTGGGAGGATTGGGAGGTTGAGTTTCTTCTGCTGTGCATCCAACCTGGCACTCACTGGGGTTGCACGGCGGTGTTCGGAACCCTTCAAGGCAGCAGCCTATACAACAAAAAGCAATAGAAATTTAGGAACTCGAAGCTCTCTCTCTCTCTCTCTCTCTCTCTCTCTCTCAGGTACCCATAGATATGCAGACCATAGAACTATTTTCACATTTCCTCTCAGGTACCCATAGATACGCAGACCATGTGAACATAATTCAGAGCTCAGTAACAATACTTACAGCCTTCTGGACAGCCTCATTGTTCACCCTGGGGGAAGATTTCCTTGAGTCCTGAGCAGCTGCATTGGCATCAAAGAATGCCTGAAATAACAATTGCACACATTTACATCAACCCAGTTGAATGGCCCAGATAAGAAGGGAATAACTCCTACACTAATGTAATCAACACAACATATCCATACAGAAACAACAGCAAAAGTTACCTCTTCCTTGTGGCCTGACAATGCCGTAGCCAAAGCATTAACTTCAACAACTTTCTGTGCAGCAAAAGCAAACCATGACTTGATCTCACTGTCAAGCTTGGTCTCATTCGCCAAATCAACAGAGGTGTGAAGGAGAGAGCAGGAAGTCGAGACCACAAGCTTATCTGAATAAGGATCCAGAATGAGGTTAAAATTTCCAATCCCTAAAGGACTCATAAAAAAACCAAAAATGGACATAAAGAAATAATCAGAGAATCATATACCTTTGCCCACAATGCTCTCAAGGGAATGGAGAGTGGTCAAAGAAGTGGCAAGATCATTAGCCCAGATGTTCCTTCCATCAACAACTCCAGCAAAGAGGTACTTCCCAGATGGGAAGCTCGACTTGATCAAGTCAAGTGTCTTCGTTCCACGGACCAGGTCAAACCCAAAACCAGAAATGCCCTTCAATGAGGTAAGGGTCCTGTAACAAATTCCCGTATGTTACTTGTCTTCATATTTTGCACCAATTTTTGTTAATATACAAATTTTTCATATTTATATACTACTTGTCTTTATATTTTGCACCAATTTTTGTTAATATACAATTTTTTTATATTTATATACTAAGACTGAATATGCATAGCACAAATGCAAATTACAGATGCACATCCAAAAACCTTTAACATGGATTAGAATCATTATCCAGCAAAAGAGTATCAGCCAAACACCTGTTTCTGCACTATGCTCTGATATGAATAGCTGTCCACTTTATATTCATATATTCTCTCATTAATCACTAACTTATTTCTTAGGTCTATTTTCTTTTTTGAGTAAAAGTGACTATTAATAGAAAATGGAAATAATAGTTAAAAGAATTTTATTATTTATTTCATCAAAGTGATTGTCAACTAATAGTGTATTTATTTCTTAAGTCTTCAATAAAAACTAGTAAAAGTATCAGTCAAATAGAGGAACAGTAAAAATTAGTGAAAGCAAGCAGCGAGTGGAACATAACACATTGAGAGAAATCTGCCAATTGTTCCAAAAAAAAATTTTTTTTTTTTTAAATTGCTGATTGTTCTAAAACTTTACAAAAAATCATCAACAAGAGAGGAAAAAGAAAACAGTGAATTACAGAGCGAACTCCACGTCTTACATTCCCTCATTTTTATTTTTGCAAAACTCCCTCAACAAACACCAAATTCCTGGGTTCATTTTCCTCTTTAAGGGAGGATGTGATTTCTTTGCCACCTTTTTGGATCATTATCTCCACATCTTGCCATTTTACAGTTTTTCCATGAATAATAATATTCTAGTAAAGGGGCCAAAAAATCACAGAACACACGAATAAAAAATATCGAGGATTGCAATCTAAATAGGACGTACTTGTAAGTCTCAGCAGGGACATCCGCAAAGTAAGTCTCGATGACAACATTTAGACCAGATAAAGCAGATTCCAACTCAGTATAGGCTTCAGCGAAGGCCTGCAATTTGTGGGAGTCCTGATCAAGAACAAGGGTGGGCTCATCAAATTGAACCCATGTAGCACCTGCTGCCTTTAGTTCAGTAACAACTTCTCTGCAAAATGTTCAAATAGGTGTATGTTAAATAGATCAGACCAACCAGATGTTTACAGTCGAAGAACTAAAAACTTCAAGGAATTTTTTCATGGCTTACTTGTAGACTGGAATGATCTTTCCAAGCAATGAGAGAAGGTTGAAGGATTTCTCCACACCCTTTGCTGGCTTCGACAGCAACAAGTAGGAAACAGGGCCAACAATGACTGGAACAGTCTCAACTCCAAGCTGCACATAGAGGAAAGGAGATAAACACCTTAACATAAGTAACAGAATAGCTCTTTGAAAAAGATAATATAAATTACAAACTTATGTGCAAGCCCAATAGGCCCTTAGAGGAAAAGCAGGGGTGGCAACAGGTCGGGTCCGGGTCCAGGTGCAGCCGAAGTCATCAGACCCAGATCCAGACCCAGACCCGAAAATATAATGTGCGACTGGACGGGGACCTGCACCCAATCAAACCCGACCCAAAAATTAAAGGAAAATTGTTTCATGCGGGCTGGACCGTATTTCTACATATGCGGTCCAGAAAGTGTAAAGCATCCATCTTAAAGATGGATGCAAGTAGGTGTTCCATCTAAAAACAATGGAAACTAACGGCCCAAATATTTTCTTACTCGAATTGTTATTTCTAGTTTTTAAATTTTATTTATTTTTTCATATTCGGTCTGGACCGTATTTCTACATATGCGGTCCAGAAAATGTAAAGCATCCATCTTAAAGATGGATGCAAGTAGGTGTTCCATCTAAAAACAATGGAAACTAACGGCCCAAATATTTTCTTACTCGAATTGTTATTTCTAGTTTTTAAATTTTATTTATTTTTTCATATTCGTGATCTCCATGTTAGAGATTACATGTCCTTAAAAATTAAGTCCTAAAATCCATCTCAAAAATAGATTTATTAAGAAGCCTGCATTTCTACATATGCGTGCTTGGCCGCAAAGAAACCAGGTCCAAAATTAAAATATCTGTGTATTTAAACATATTTCATAAATTGGGACCCAAAAATATAATGTAGGACCCAGACCCGGACCTGAATAGTGTTCAGGTCCAAGATTTGGACCCGGACCCAAATACTGTTCAGGTCCAAGATTTGGACCCAGACCCAGACCCAACCCACCGGGTCCAATTTTTGACCCATACCCCGACCCGGGTCAGGTCCATTGCCACCCCTAAGGAAAAGCCAATAGCAATTACAGTTAAGAGGAAAAAGCACCAATGAATTACGGACACATACCGCCTTGGCCTCTTTGTATTCAGTGACTGCCTTGTGAGAAGCATAGGAGAACTTGACATCAGGTCCCAATTCAGGCACAATGTAGTGGCTGTGGTATCAAAAAAATAAGCATGTATAAGCAATAATTTCTCAAACTTAGAAAAAGGGAGCAGTTGGCCATAACTAAGAAATCTCAAATAAAATCAAATAAAATATAACACATCAAATGTACAAGGTGCTTATAAGAGTTGCTGAGTTAAAGAAAGACAACTTACTAGTTGGTGTCAAACCATTTGGTCATTTCCATAGCAGGAAGTGAGGCATTCCCTCTGGCCATGGAGAAGTAGGTGTCGAACCCAATCTCACCACCATTCCATCCATACCTTGGGGGAACAGCCCCAAGCATGGCAGTGGTATCAAGCACCTGATCATAGTAAGAGAATGTGTTGCTAGGGATGTACTTGATCCCCGCATCAGCCATCTGCTTCCAAATTGCCGCCTTCAAATCCTTCGCAACCTTCTCCAGATCATGAGCACCGCTCTTCCCATCCCAGAATGATTCCAAAGCGAACTTGAGCTCTCTCTTTGGTCCCATGCGAGGATATCCAACAATGTGTGATGCCATTTTGCTGGTTTCCCAAAAAAAAAAAAGAAAAAAAAAATATTATAAAAGCAAAAAATAAAAATAAAATTTAGAACGGGGTGACAAGATTTGGAAAAATAAGCTACAATGGAGAGCTGTCAAGGACAATAACAAATAACAAATGAAGAGGCAGAGAAATAGCTATGTTCAATGTGGGGAGACATAATCTTAACATATCACTAAAAAACATGAGTACTTGTAATTTGTATAATTTGTTTCCATTTGTCTCTTTATTGGTTTTTTATAATTCTCTTTGTTTTCTTTCGACTTTGTTCTGTTTGTTTTTTCTTTTTTCTTTCTTTTTTTTGGAAGGACTGACTGGTTATATATCATTATAATTACATTAAAAAAAAGATTTCATCTGGTCCTTACACCGCTGAAGTTATTCTAAATGTTTGGGACAAGGCAGGAAGCTAAACCCACGTGCAGAGATCATGGAACAACTTCAAATTCAAAAAATAAAATAAAAACAATTGGTGTAAAATCACTTCACATAAAAAAGTTATTTACAAAAAAAATTACAAAAACACCAAATTTGTGAAGGGCTAAGATTTCAACATCAGAGTGCTGTCAAACAGTAAATACAGACACTCCAAAATAAAATAGCAAGATCTGCAGGAGAGACGGATAGCCATAGAGAAGAATCTACCGAGAAGGGAACCAGATCTCTGGACTAGAAGTACAAAACCAGAGTAACGCATAATTCTGAGGGAAAGTACAGGGTGTTACTTATCAGGCAAACATTTATTAACGTACCAGCAACTGAGCATAAAAGATCTGAAAGATAATATGAAACCTTTATAAATTCAAGATCTGAGGTGAAACTCCAAAACATGCAATCCGTAAAGTAAAGGAAGCTAGAGTAAGAGCTTAGAGAATAAGCTAGAGTAAGAGCTTAGATAAGTAAAAAGTCATGTGAAACCAGCAGCTGTATATCTTAGAACAGAGAAGATAAAAAATTGAGTACATATTCTGATTTGGTGAGTAATATAACTCACAGGTCGAGAAAATAAAAACAAAAAACTAAATGAACTACTTCAGGATCCTAACAAAAGAAGGAGCTTCACAGATTTATAGAGAAAGCATGACAACAACCGCTTGTAACGCATAAATTTATTAAATTACTGTAAAACGCCACCAGATCTAGTATTCATAGATGTTCTAGAAAGTAGATCTGATGTATTTATGGATCTACATCAAGATCTGAGAAACTAGTACTCCAAAAACACTAAATCACAACAGTGTCTTCATTTATGAAACGAATGAGTCGTTTGCCAAAAATTGAAGAAAATTAAAAGCAAAAAACCCTAGATCCACAGTGTACAAAGATAGTATTCATATGAATAATCCTACTGAGATGAAACAATAAATCTCTATGCAGGAATTGTTGTTTCCAAAAAAAAACAGAGTTCTCTGCTGTAATACACACTAGACAAGTGTGAAGCCCGAGATCTAAGTTGTACTGGTAAGATCAGTCTTAATCTTATCCCAAAAACGCAATTAATTCATAGATACTAAGATTACCATTCCCCCGAAAAAAAAATTAAGTTACAGAGAGAAAACAGTTCGACGCATACCCGACGAATTTTACAACTAGAGATCGAAATTCCACTTTTTACCATTAAATCCTTTGAAAAACGTACCAAGACAAAATCTGGAGAGAAAACGCGATGAACGCCCTGGAGAATGTGGTCTGCGGATCTACGGAAAGAGAGAAAAAATGCAAATGCAAATGCGATGGAGAAAAAATGCAAATGCGATGAAGAAAAACAGCCTCCTTTAGGGTTTTGGAATGCGAGCTACGAATAACGCAGCAGAAGGAGAACAATGCGGAGAAGCGCTTACCTTGAGGAAAAGACGGGAGCGTGACTGGTTCAAGTGAAATGGAGGGAGGTTATGTAGAGAGAGAAGATGGATTTATCGACAGGATTGGGCTAAAGATGCAAGAACATTTATAGGCACGAGAGAACGTGAAAGGGTGAAGTACATCTGCCGCAATCAATTTATTATTATTTTTTCTATTTATTTTTAGTCGTGCACTGTATTGAAAAACTAAAATAATAATGAATATTCTTACAGGGCGTGCAGTGCCCCTAACTATTTATAATTATCACGATCGTCCTAACCTAACTAAATTACTATATACGTTTTCCATCTAAAAACAATTGAAACCGGTGGATGTTTTATTAATAGAATTATTATTTTTAATTTTTAAATTTTATTTATTTTTTCATATTCAAAATCAACAAGTTATAGATTACACGCCTTTAAAAATTAAGTCCAAAAATCTATTTCAAATAAAGATTTTTAAAAGCTGACTCATTTCTAGGACTCATAGAAATCATGAAACTCATTGTATTAAATATAAATAAAAATAAAAAAATTTTATTTCAAAATCCAAAATTCTACTTACATGGACATAATATGGTGTGGGGAAATAATGCTCTTCATACAACCTAGATCTTTATTTTCATTGCCAAACTAAATAGAAATGATCCAATAACTTTAAACTGATTTCCATTACACTTTTTAGCACAACTTAATTTACTGAAAAATAAAAAATAATATTGAAAATATATTAATAGTGGGAGTTACCTATTAGGATCAGGTACAAAACCCTCAGAGAACAAAATGCGATTGAGCTTTAGAGTTGATGTCTTTTTGGATTGGTTATCTCCTTTTTTCTCTAAAATAAGATAAATCTATTTTAAAATTCCTCCTCTTCTTCTCTTTCAATAAAAACTCAAAATAAAACAAGTGAGATAAAGAGAGAGAGAGAGAGAGAGGGTAGTGTTACTCTCTCAAGGCAATCTTGAGCGTGAGAGGAAGAGAAATGTTATTTCACCTTCTTTTTTTTGGGTAATTAATGTTATTTTACCATTAAGATAAGTAGGAACTTTAACTATTATAATTTGATAAAGTCCAACTTATATTCAAAATTAAAATGTAATTAAATTGAAATATTATTTATATCTTCTAATTAAATTTGAAATACAATCATATTTACAGATTAATCAGTTTCTCTATTTAAATTTGAAATACAATTACGTTTAAAAATTATAAATATATACGTCTCAAAACACCGTTTGTTTCGAGGGAATAACAAGCATGGTTTGACCATTCAGCATAATGGTTCCCAAAGGGGTAAATACCAGGTTTTTCTAGTGAAATTATCATGTCTTCCATGCTTTCAAATAATGGAAGGTATGGCGAATCATACCTTTTCTTTGAAAAAAATGAAAAACACACGTTATGCATACACAATGTGTACTATAGTCCATCCACGAACCATTTTGAGTAATCGTTTGCATATAACTGCATAAAGGTTCCTTTAGGGGCCATTTGGGTACTTGAAAATCTATTACGTAATAATAGATTACAAGGAATTATGACATTATTGGGTAAATTTAATAATGAGGAAATGGAAAAATATTACGCAATATTTCTCAAAAAATCAAGAAATGCATTACTCGCGGTGATTGATAAAAATCTATTACGAGAGTGACGGATAATTTTGGAAAATATTATGCGTGCGTTTTTACTTACCATATTACTGATTAGAAAATATATTCTCTTGTAATCCATCTCTCTTCATAATATCTAGTATAGGTGATATTTCCCTTTTTAAATTCGTACCCTCATGTGAAAGCATCAGCTTTGATATAAAAACAAAAAAAATAAAAATAAAAATCAGTAATCAATGATAAATTATACAACACAAACATAATAGAATAATTTACACAACATAATTCTCATCAAAAATTACTAAAATCTCAATTGAAATAACATACATCTTTAGTCTCATCCAATACCTTAAAATTTTATACTACAATTACCGAACGTTCTAGTTTACTAATCAAACTTTTTCCCATTTGTTAACTCGTACCATAGAGATTTTGAATTTAGTATCATAAATTTATTATTTATTTGAAATTATATAGAGAGATATTTGAAAGACTTCTATAAAAAATAAATAAAAATAAGGATTATCATAATAAAATCATGTTATTCCAATGACTTATCATGTTAGAAGACATGTGATTCTATGTAAATGCCAAAGGTATGTAAAACAAGTAGGAAATGGGGTCATGATCACTGTAAAATAGTACAAGTTATTATTATAAAATCTTTTTTGAATGGTGATAATGTTATTATTATAAATCTTTTTGGAATGGTGTGATGATGATTTTGATAATTCTACATTTTAGTGGAATTTTGTGACAAAAACAAAAGAAATGATAGTTTATAAGAACATGTTCGTAAAATGTTGGTAATGCATTTCCTATACTTCTTCCATACAAAGCCAAACAATAATAATGTATTTCTCAAGTTGCATCTAAATACTATCCAAACAATAACAATCTATTTACAGGTAATGTATTATGCTGGTAATATATTTCATGAACAATATATTTTCCACGTATCCAAACGACCCCTTAAGGAGCTTCATTTTGAGACAGACATATGAGAATGCTTTGGAGCCGTGTTTGAAAACCCATATGAGTGGGTTGGATTATCTATCTCAAATCGTTGGATTGTGATCTGAATCGATTCAAATCAGGGATTTGGTTAAAACATGAAAAAAAAAAATGTAAGAATTAAAATAATAGTTTATGGGGTGGAGATTTAAAAATATCTAAAAAAATATTAGATAAGTTCAAAAAAATAGAAGACAATTTTTATTTTTTCTTTTGTGGTCGGGGTGGGGGGTTATGGTGGGACCAACACCTTCCTGAAATTGATTTGGTCCCAGCCGATTCTCAATCCAAATTAGCAATTTGTAATCCAAATCATTGGGTTTTGAAATACTGGAGAAGAGTATGCTTCCCGTTTACGAATATGGATGATTGAGTTTTTTTTTGTTAGAGTGCGATTAGCATAAAGCTTCACTTAAGACCATGTCACAAAAGGTATTATGGTGCTGGAAATTTTTATGGTTTAAGAATCCATGTCAGTCCCTCAATTATGAATATGAAATTTGAAGTTCAAAGGGTTTTTTAAGCCTGGGCCTTATATAAATTTGTTTTTTTTTGTTGTAATATCATTTGACAAATCTAAGGGGTTGTTTACATGCGGCATCGGAGAGGTTATCCGTTCATGCATTCGCCCAAGTTTTAGAAGGATTTATGAATTGACATCCAAATTTATTGTAAATTAATTTCTACCTAGACTCATGAACAAGTTCAATAAAATTGCACATCCAATAACCAAAAGCTAAAACAAACGAACAAAATTTAAAGTTACTATTAGCATAATTGTAGTGATCTAGATGATATAAATCGGGAAAATCCATTCCAAAAACAAATTTTAGGATGCTAGAATCACTTTATCAACTTCATCCCCATATGCCCTCTTCCTAAAATCCAATGTTTAAATACAAAGTTTGGTGACCTGGATCGCCAATCCCAAAAACTGGTGGCGACCGGTAGATCGGCAATCCGGTTGGAAAAACAAATAAAAATCAAGAATATAATAAAAATTAAGAAACTAATAAAAAAAAGTGTGGCCCGATTGGTCAATTCCCAAACCTAACCAAACGGTTTTGTCACTTAACCAGCCAATTCCCAGTAGGAACAAGTGAGTTCCATATATTGAGGGTCCCTTCGCCCTCGGTTATTGATTTACATCATGCAATTCCAATCTGGATCAATATTATTTTAAATCCAAAAATATTGGGACTCCTTAAACATTGTCATAAAAGATTGGGACCTGCTATAACTTTAAAATATTATTAAAATCTATTACAAAAATATCTGCTAAAATTAAAAAATAACAAGTTGAAAAAGCCTTTGTAAACGGAGAAAGTTGGTGGGGCTTAGGGGGCCGAGCCCCGGGGAGTTGGTAGTGGCTCGGTGTATGCACCGCCGGTGCGCGTTGGTGGCTCAGGGAATGGGTGAAGTGGGCTCGTGGCCCACACTCGATTTTCTCACTCCACCAATTTGGTAGGTACTGCCCTTGTTTTGGTCCAACCCGTTACCAACCATGAAAGCTACACTTTACTACTCTTTCCACTTTCCTTATTATTGACAATTCTCAATTCCCAGTTCTTAATGCTCCATCAATTATGTTCATTTACGTATTCAAGTAAACAAAGTTATTTTTCCCTCTTCCTCACCTACGCTCATTTCATTAGAATAGCCTCCCTTTTAGCATACTATATATTTTCTCGTTGTGCGAATTTTTTAGTAGATGGATATTCAGAATTTAATCACTCTATTTTTATTATTTTTAATCAATGCTAGAGAAAGCAAGAGCTTTATACTTATTTCTACCTCGAAAAAAAACATTTAATATTAAACAGGGTCTGTCAATTTTTTTATATCTATTTTAAGCATATAAATCTACAAAAACTCAAAATTGTATGTGGTGGAAAAGTTTTAATGCATAAAGGGATACACAAATTAGAAAAATTACTTATGTATCGTGACATTTCCTTCATATTTATTGGCGACCACGTTTGAATTTTGATTTTCAAGTGTAATATTTACTGTAAATGGAATGTGGATGTGTTATATGATGAAATACAACTACAAAAAGTTTGAACCCCACTTCCAAGAGACAAAGTCCAACAACTATGTCCCCAAAGGCATAAAAACCAAACCAAATTTTCTCAAGGAAAATGGTTAGATATTAGAATAAGTAAAGCCCCACTTTATAACTCATCGGAAATTGCAATCAAATATTAGAAAACATTTACATCGATCATCTTGGATTGAACATTATGGTTGTGAGAAAAAAGAGGATTTCAAGCTCTAAAAATATAGTTTTTATAACAAATTATCTAAAACATTCATTTCGCCCAAAAAATAAGTGTTAATAGATCCACAAGATCTAATTATTTTTTGAGTTTCAAATTTTATTGTCAGTATTGGAAATTGATTTTAGAGCCATCGTGGAGATTTTTCGTTCCCATAAGTGTGTTTTAGACAAGGATTTGAAGTGAGGC